AGTTTTATATTGTTCTCATTTTTCTAAATGTTGTCATAAAAAGCATTAAAAAAAAAGAAGTCTTATTATGTATAGACTAACTGTATTATGTAATTTATGTGCGGCCCAAGAAAATTCCTCTTTACTCGATGTGACCAGGGAAGCCAAGAGGGCGGACACCCCTGGTTTAAAGCATCTGGGAGGATGTGCGTGGGCCACGCATCCGTCCTGTGCGTGTTGTGGAGAGACCTGACCGTTTGCGGGCTTCGCCATCTGCAGGTGTGCTGGAAGCAGTCCCCCACAGAAGAGGGACAGCTGGAGATTACTCGGGTCACCTCTTCCCACGCATGTGGGTTCTTTTGGTTTTATGTTATTAATGTAATTAATGAGTCTTTGAAGAGATGGCCTTTCTAAACTCTTGGTGCCTGGTTTCCTCATTATTTCATTGGAAGGATAATACCAACCCTAGGAGGAGTATATTAGCTAATGTTTGTAAGTGTATAGATTCGTGCCCTCAAGTCAAGTAAATAACCTCCTTTTACACGTGGAGATGGTGAGCATTTTCTCAAGTCATAAAATGCTTTCTATAGCACGATTTTCAGTGGTGTTTAGTCCTCTGTCACGTGGATGTGCTTGAATTAAGCATTCCCCTTATTTCTTGCTTCTTATTTCCAGTTTTTACTCCTATAAACACAGCTGTGACCGGCATGCCCGCATGTAAGCATGACCTCACCCTCATTTCCGTCGACAGATTCCTGCAAGCGCAGTGGTCATACCTGGGAGGACACATGTTTTATACGTCTCGCATACCTGCTGCCAGCTCGCCCCCAAGAAGGGCTGTGCCAATTATATTCTCAGGATAGCTGCATTCACTAGTATATGAATGTCGATTTCTCTGTAACTTCACCAAAACTGGATTTTATTGTTGTTTTTATAAATCTTTGCCAGTTTAGCAAGTAAAAAGTTGTACCCTGCTTTAAGTTGCATTTCCCTGATTAAACTTTTTGTTTGCCATCTAAATTTTTTCTTTTATGACACCTTTTAATATATTTAGTTCATTTTTCTATTGGATATTTGACTTTCTCTTCTGATTTTAATAGTAGATTCATCTTTTTTCTGTAGATCACAAATCCTCTCCCCGTTTCTTTTAGCTTCAATCCTACTTGCAGTGTTTTAGAACATAGACATTTCAATTATTTTTTCTTTTTTAGCATTTTCTTTATACCAACAAAAGAAAAGCAAAAGCATTTTAATTTTTATAAAATAGAATGTATCACCTTTTTTCCTTTTCATGCTTTTTAACCTTTGATACTTAGCTCGGAAGTGAGCCTTCATAGAAGGTCTTTGAGTGTCAGTATATCTTATAAATAAAAATATCTATCCATGCTATAGCTGAGCTTTATTAACATGTCTGGCATCATTGATATATGACTTGGGAAATCCAGCTTGATGTTTTTTCCAACAAAAGCACCCAAGTGTAGTATACTGAAAAATGTTTGCTTCACCCAGTGGTTTTGAAATGCCAGTTTTACCTTATGTACATTGCAGGCTTGGGGGCTTTTGTTGTACTTGGTTATTGTACTTTTATGCCAGTTGTTACACCACTGTGGTGTTTGAGACGTCCTCGGATGGTGATCTGGTGCCAACCTTCCTGGCCATTCAGTTTTCAGCATTTTCTTGGCTAGACTTCTAGCTGATCCTTGGAATATGCTGTTAGGCTCTAAGAAGGACCCTGCCAGGATTTTTATTTGGATCGCATTTAATTAAATAATGGTTACTGTGCTAACAAGGTGTGTGTTGCCGTCTTATAATGAACAGTGTTTGATTTTTAAGTTTGCTAAGTGCATCAGTCCTGTCTGGGTTAGGTGGACTTCAGGGGCTTTACAATGCTTACACAGGCACCATAAGCCCAACCCAACTGCATCTCTTAGTTGACGTGTACATTTCTAATCAGAAGGCTCTTGAGTCAACCATGGGGAGGCTTTGTGTGTCAAGCCCAGCTCCATCCCATACTCATGCGACTCTGTCTTCTCAACTTGGAGATGTGGATACCAGGATGAGAGTTCAACATGTTTACGATGTGTGTGAGGACGTCTTGTAAACTAAACTGGAGTAGTGGCTGCAGTGTGATGCGTATGTTTCCTTCCGAAAACATTCTGGGGTTTTCCTTTAGTCTGTCATACTATTTTTTTTTAAAAGTGAAAACCCGTTGGCATTTTCTAGTCTCAGTGACACTAAGTGAAAGTATCTACAGCGTGAACAGCATGGAGAAGCCAGTCTTGACTTCCAGAACTGATCACACGTGTCACCCAAGAAGAGAGCATCAGTGCTGCCTGCAAGACTGTGTACGTGAGAGTTGCTGTGGAGTGTTCCCAACACACAGCCACGATAAACACTCGGCGACAGACACCCCAGGTGCCCTCACTTGATCACTAAGTGCTCCATACATGTAACAGAGTATCCTGCGGACCCCGTAAGCACGGAAAATATTACGTGGCAATTAAAGAAAAGACTGCATTGTTGTTGTCTGTGTTTTGGTGGTGTTTTATTTCTCGCAGTTTTCTAAAAAGGAAAATGAAGCTTTTTAATCTTTGTTTTTAGCACCAATCTTAAAGAGTTCCTTTTTTGCAATGTGTTTTTTTCTTTTTGAGTCGGAGACTCACTCTGTCACCTAGGCCGGAGTTCAGTGGCATGCTCGTGGCCACCATAGCCTTGACCTGCTGGGCTCAGGTGATCCTTCTACCTCAGCCTTCCAAGTAGCTGGAACTACAGGCATGCGCCACCATGCCTTGCTAACTTTTTGATTTATTGTAGAGACAAGGCCTTGCTATGTATCCCAGGCTGGTCTCAAACCCATGGACTCAGTCCTCCAACCTCCGCCTCCCAAAGTGCCGGAATTACAGGCGTGAGCCACTGCACCAGGTGCAGTGATTTTTAAAAAAAATCTGCATTGCGTGATTTGCATTCTTATTTCTTACATATCCTTTTGGGCTGTTTTATTTTTTCTTCACAGACATCCGTTCTTCACTTTGAATGCCTGACATCCTCAAGTGAGTGTCCGTTCAGGTCAAGCAGTGTGTTTTCAAAGGAGGGCACGGCCTCCCTCTTCTTCTCTGCCACACTTTGTCCTCTTCTGCAGCTGAAAATAGGATTAACCACCGATGGGATTTATTAACGTTGGAATTGCACACTTAAGCTTCATTCCCAAAAGTGGAACGAATTCGGTGGAGGGGATTACAGTAACTGTGACTTAATGTCTTCGTTTGTGGTTATTTTGAGACACTCCAGCATGTTGGAGGGCCGAGTTTTCTCCAGAACGTTACCTGTTGCATTCCGCATAGTCCTCCCTTTTGCATCTGTGGCCTCTTCCCTTTCCTCAGTCTCCTCGCTTGCGACCTCGTGGCTTCATTGGGTGTTGGGAATGTTATGTTTTGCCCTTAAGGTAACACAAAAATGAGCCTGATGCCGGCAAAGCAGTTTGTAGACAGTGCTGTCAGGCCGTTGGCCTCTCCAGCTTGTTGAAGGCAGCAGCAGCAGCAGTGGGGTCTGTTAGCCCAGCAGACGAGGCGCCGTGCTCCTCGCAGTTCCTGGAACTGCCGCCATGCGCGTCGTCAGCCGCTGAGTCTTTCGGACCGGCTGGTGGCCTGGGAAGATGAGCGTGGGTAGTGTCTGTGTGTTGTGGTGGGCGTCGCGCTTAGGTTCCTGGAGCTTTAAGTGTTCCTCTGCAAACGCGACAGTCCTCACTTGAGCGACTGAGTGTGTGTTTACGTATAGACTTGGAATGAGGATCTGGAAATCCCATTTCAACCCGCAAGGGTCTCGACGGCCGCTATTGGCATGAAGTTTTCGCTGGTTCCTTAAGCTGACTCAACAAGGTGAACGTGACCCTTCCTGCCACGCCTAAGCTCACACACAGCCCCGTGGTGGTGGGCAGCCTCGGCTTGACCCCGCCTTCTTCCTGGTGGAGGCTGGCGCCCCACTGCACCCCACGGGGCTTCGGCGCCCGGTGCTTGTCATCCAGCGGGGTCACGGGCCCAGGCCACTCACTGGTCCCCAGCTGCCTCCGGCAGACTTGCTGGCATGGCCTTCTGCGGTCTTGTGTGTGAGCTGGTGCTGGCCCAGGCAGCCTCAGATGTGAATGTGGCCGCAGTGGCCACCCTTGATTCTGGCTGTTTGCGCTGGCCTCCTGGCTCGTCCGTTGGTGACTACGGGCAAGCACTCCTGGGCTTGCCCCCATTCCCAACTTGCCAGCCCTACCCGTGTTTCTCATCGGCTTTCGTCTTAGTCGTTCTGCTGCAGCCTCCCTCCCCCCACCCCCTCCCCTGTAGCTCCCTGGTCAGCTTCCTGCTGGCTCTGCTCTGTGTCACCAGAGCTTGGCTCTTCCTGTTCCTGTCTCTGGCAGCATCACTGGTCTCTTCCTACTCCGTGGCCAGCTTTGAGGCCAGATTTCTGGCACCTCCCTTCAGATAGCCTGTGAAATTGGTGTGTTATGCACTCATGACCAAAATGTTTGTGAATTGTGGGCTGCAGTCTAGTTTTTTCACGCAGTAAGTGGTGTATTCCTCCGTGTTCAGACCTGTGTGTGACTTTATGGTATGAGGGCATCTCCCATAATATGCTGCACGTGTCACTTCTGAGATGCGGCTTCCACTAAAATCAGGTCCATGCAACTGTGGGCTGTGGCGAAGTGTGGAGGCGCTTCCTTTCTTCGAGGTACGTGAAGGCAAGGTGTGCTGGAAGGTGGACAGCGTCTTAGATTTGACAGAACGCAGCCATGTGGCGTTCTCACGGTGGCTGTGCTTGCTGCGTGTCAGCCGCAGGGGCTCGTGTGTGCTCTCACCTATCCTCCCACCACCCTGGGAGGCAGCGTTCAGACGGAAACGCTCTGCTGGCCGCGGGCGTGAACCCATGCAGGGAGGGCGCTCCCGAGATGGGGCCTGGCTGCGCTCCCCAGGCGAATGGGGAGCAGTGGGCTCCCTCCTTGGCGTCTGCAGCCTCTGACCGCCTCCTTCCCCTCGCAGGCATCGCTGGCTGCACTGCATGACGGACGAGCCTCCCACGACAAAGCCACCCACCGCTCGGAAGTTCATCTGGACGCGGCACAAGTTCAACGTGAGCGGCACCCCAGAGCAGTATGTGCCTTTCTCCACCACGAGAAAGAAGGTCCAGGAGTGGGTCCCGCCATCCACGCCGTCCACGTAGAGGGTGTGGGGCCGCGGAGACAGCAGCCCACGCCTGTGCCACGTGTGCACGCCTGCCCATTAAACGTGTTTGCCCAAGCGTGTCTCGCGCCTTTTTGCCCCAACCGTGTCGTTCCCCTGGGGCACGGGAGGCGCGGACAGATGTGGTCGCAGGGTGGCCTCGCTGGAGTGTGCCTATCTCAGCCCCTGGTGGCCACGTGTGTCCCGGGCCCCTCCCTGCAGCCGCCACCTGTGTCCCGGGCCCCTCCCTGCAGCCGCCACCTGACGGGCAACCCCGCCAAGCCCAGCAGAGCTTCCCACGGGCCAAGGCCCAGTGGGGCTGGGAGGGGCTGCAGGAGCCGCTGTCTCCTCCTCTGGCCTGTCCGCACCCCTCCCCCCTGCCACGCCTCCCCTCCCTGGAGTCACCGCTCAGCTCACTGGAGTGGCAGCGGCGGCACCCACTGAGAGACTCGCCTTCACAGAGGCCAGAGCAGAGGCCAGTGGGAGCCACTCCCGCCTCCTGGAAGAGCCCCTGGCCCTTGCCTGCTGTTCCTTCCACCTGGAGCAGTGACGTCGCTGTGCTGCTCTCTCTTCCGTGCCCTTTGTTTTTGAGTTAGGGCCTCACTCCGTCTCCCAGGCTGGAGTGCAGTGTTATGCTCACGGCTGGCTAGCTGCCACCTCAGCCTCCCACGTAGCTGGGACTACAGGCTCGTGCCACCACGCCCCGCTAACTTTTAATGTTTTGGAGAGAGAGAGTCTTGCTGTGTTGTCCAGGCTGGCCTTGAGCTCCTGGGCTCAAGCAGTCGTCCCACCTTAGCCTCCCAAAGTGCTGGAGTGACAGGCTGAGCCACCGCACCGGCCCATCTTCTGTACCCTGACATCTCACTTTGCAGATGTCACCAAGCAGGATGCACTGTGTCCCTCTGGTCTTTCATTTGTGTAAGTGTCCTTGTCTTATTTTCTTCATGGTACTTAGTGTTCCTTTTCGGGAAAAGATGTGAGCGAAACTATGCCAGGGAATAATAACGTGTGCCCTCTCCCCCCGCATGGGCCCGGATTCGGTGTGCTGCCAGCGTCCTGGCCGCGCCCAGGGACTGCGACTGCCCGGTGCTCCCAACCCAGCGACCAGAGCCCGCTTGTGCGTGAGCTCACGCAACGTTGGTTCCTGGCGTCTGGGCAGCTCCTGCTGCTGCGAAGGCCGTGGCTTGGTTCTGTGGGGCTGCGCGGGCTTGGGGGGTCAAGGTCTTAAAACAAATCCGCCGCAACAGAACAGGCCTCGGGAAAGCCTGTGTCCCGACGCCGAGGCAGCCTCCGGCCCAGAGAAGGGGGCTGGCGCAAGGGCCTCCGGGTGAGGCCCGCGGAGCCTGTGGCCTCGGTTCCGGTGCCGCCGGGCTGCATCCAGGGAACCGGCGCCGGAGGGTGCCCGCCCCGTCCTGCGGCTCGTGCTCCGCCCCCGGCTCGCGGGCCGGCTCCTGGGACCGCCTCCCGGAGGTCGAGGCCGCGGGTCACGATCCGGCTGGAGCGGTGGCGGGAGGCCCTGCCCCTCAGAATAAGTCAGTCGATGAAACTCGAGGCTTGTTTTCGGCAGAAGCAGACTAAACACAGTAAGTGAAATGCATGAGGCTGAGAGCTCGGTTCTCGCGGGCTGGAGGCACGTATCCCACAGGCCTGCACGTGTCTGCAGGATGCACCTGTCCCGTCTGTGTGGCCCTCCTGAGCCCAGTAACAGACGTCAGCAGTGGGACAGGTCGGGCTGCGCGTGGCCTGGACGTGGGAGCTGGAGCCGCAGTAAAACTGCTTTAAAAATGTGGCGTGATTGTGTAAGACAGAGCCACAGACCCGCCGTTGGAGGGGCCTTGGGGCACCCCGTGGCCATAGGAGGGGGAGAAATTAGGCACACGACCAGCCAGGCTCTAACTCGAAATCTGATGGTCAGCTTTCCACGGTGAACTCTTTGCTCACTTGGGAAGAGAAGTCTCTGCAGGTGGGAGCAGCACACCGGTGGTTCTGAGGATTTCGTCAAAGGCAGCACAGATCGCTACCACCGTTCACACCAACTCAGGCTGGGTGAAAACACAAAAAGTTTCCCAAGGAAGCGGGAGTCAACCACAGGCAAGCCATCCACACCCAGCAGGTGCAGCTCGCCGAGTGAGATTCAGCCCAGCCGAGGGAGGAGGCCACCCATGGATCGACGTCCAGCCTGGGAGGTGGAGTGCAGTGGCTTGCTCCTGTCATCCCAGCACCCTGGGAGGCTGGGGCAGGAGGAGCGCTTGAGCCGAGGAATTCAAGACCAGCCTGGCGACATAGCAAGACCTCATCTGTAAAGAGTCAGAAAAATTTGCTGGGTGTGGTGGTGCCTGTTGTCCCAGCTACTCAGGCGTCTGAAGCAGAAGGATCACTTGGAGTCGAGGCTATGGTGAGCCGTCATCATGCCTCTGCACTCCAGCCCGGGCAACAGAGTGAGATCCCGACTCAAAAAAAAATTGAAAAGCACATATCGCATTAAAACACACCCACCCTGTTATCTTGAGTACAAACTACAGGAAATAAAAGTAATATTTCCTGAGCAGGATTCTCACTTTGTCGCCCAGACTAGAGTGCAATGGCATGCTCACGGCCACTGCAGGCTCGACCTGCTGTGCTCAGGTGATCCTTTAGCCTCCACGCTCCAAGTAGTTGAGACCACAGGCACATGCCACCACACCCAGCTAATTTTTCTTAATTTACTGTAGAGACGAGGTCTCCTCAAGTTGCCCAGGCTGGTCTCGAACCCCTGGTCTCAGGCAACCCTCTTGTCTCCAACTCCCAAAATGCTGGGGTTATAGGTGTGAGCCACTGTGCCCGGTCAACTGTTTTCTTTTTTTTCTTTTGAGTTGGACTCTCACTCTTGCCCAGGCTGGAATGCAACGACAGGATCGTGGCTACTGCAGCCTTGACCTCCTTGGCCTCCGCCTCCTGAGTAGCTGGGACTATAGGCATGCACCACCATGCCTGACTAATTTTTAAAAATTTTTTTGTAGAGACAAGGTCTCACTGTGTTGCCCAGCCTGGGCTCAAACTCCTGGGCTCAAGCGATCCTCCTGCCTCCGCCTCCCGGAGTGCTGGAATACAGGTGTGAGTCACTGTACCCAGCCACTGTTTACGTAATGTATGGGTCAGTCAGTAGTGGAGAACACCCCATTTTAGACTTCTGTGTTATTAAAAAGCATCCGCACAGATCTGTTGTTCTGGCATTGCTGAGGCAGAGGCAGGATGGCAGGTTGGAAGGAGGCCTGGCCTGAGTTGAGACTGCTTGGGTCCTCCCAGCACTCACTGGCCGTTAGCTCAGGGCACTGTCGCATCCCAGGAGGCTCTCCGGTCCTTACCTGTCATGTGAGGATGGCGGATCCTCAGAGCTGCCGTAGGTGAGACCTCGGACGTTGCCATCGTCTCGGTAGAGTCATAAGCAAGGTCCCGGGTTCTCACATCGGCAGTGACGACAGTGTCGTGTGCGGATTTGCAGTTCTGACCGTGTAGTCAGTTTGGGGCCTTTGTACTATTATTTAAGTCAATAGAATCTTGCAAGTGCTAACTAGTGAGCGAACCTTATGTGTCAATAGAGGTGCCTGTACAAAAAAGGCCAGGAGTCACTGTCAGAAGTTACTTTATGCAACAGTTCTTTGAATTTTATAAGAACTCAGTTTCGCTTCATCTTACTGATTAAAATCCTTACGAAATCGAATGGCTGTATTTGGAGGCAAAATCAAAGCTACAGTGGTGATGACGTTAGCGTACTCTTGGCAGTCCCCGCCTCACCTCTGGGAAAACGGGGTTTGACATTTCCAGAAGCCTAGCGCTAGCATCCCGCCTCCTGGGTGGCTGGGCTCAAAGGACTTGGGAAGATCCATCAGGTCTGCAGAACCTTCCAGACAGCTCTGGAGTCAGCCGTGTTCCACCGGGTCGAGCTGAGGGCAGGGCTGGCAGCAGCTTAAGGAAAACCGAGGAACGGAGGCTCCCAGAGGAGTTCGAAGGGAAGGGCAGCCAGCTGTGGCTTGGGATGATGGCGGGCAGGGTCAGCTCAAGACGCACGTGGGAACAGGGCCAAGAAGGGAAGGAAGCGCCTGCGTTTTCCTCTCCTCTCGCGTGCAGCTGCCGGGTCAGTTGCACACCCAGCGTGAAACCAAGGGGGTCGGGGGAGCGGGGGCCCCATGCAGCTCAGCGGACCCGGGGGGGCGGGGTTGTCTGTCCACACGAGCTCCTCTTCCCAACTCTGGATGGGAATTGCACGCTGTGGCTGCCATCTGCTGTCGTCTCCAGTGGGGGCTTTCTCCTTCAACAGGCACGACCTGGCCTCATGCTGGCTAACTGTGTCGACGTGCCTGGGTTAAGGGCCGCCCAGGATGCCGGAGACACATGATGTCCAGGTGCCCGCGAGGGCATCTGCAGAGGAGATCTGTGTGCACGGCAGACCCCGTGGAGAGGGTGGCCTTGCGGCACGGGAGGCTTTGTTGGGCCCCCCGAGATCCTGGGGAGACGAAGAGGTGGGAGAGACCGCACGTGCGCTCGGCTCCAGCGGCACCTCTGACTCCTCCCGCCTCAGACCCTGCCCCGGCGCTCGGCCTTCCAGGTAATGGGACCTGCATGCCGGCTTTCCAGGTCTCCAGCTCCAGATGGCAAGTCCAGGGTTTCTAGGGACATGGGTCAACGCCCAGAAATAGACCAGCTTCGGGGTTTCTCTCCACACATCCTACGCCATCCCTGTATGTCTTACATCCCTTTGTATATCCTACATCCTTTTAAAAATGTTTTTGAAGTGTGGGGCATAGTTCAGGACCAGCTACATACGGGGCCGTCATACAGGTGCAATTTGGGCCTCCCGTGGGTCTCCATTTCGCCTGGTCTGGGACCAGCCGCCCTTACTGATCTAACTCGCCCCCTCCCTTCCCTCCCTGGCAGGGCCCTGCTACTTCCATTGCCTGTCCTGTCGTGCTACGAGCTGGGTCCAGGACCCACTTATGAGTGGGACCTGTGGAGTTCTGTTGTTTGTGTCTGTGATCGATCACTGAGCATGATGGACTTCAAATCCCTCCAAGCTGCTGCAAAGTGCATAATTCTGCCCTTCT